GAACGGATTTTATGGAAATTGCCTTTTTTTCTGCTAAAGAGATAGAGTATATTCGATTAAGAATGTCCACGATTTAGCTTTCTCTGATTCCATATATACACATTTGATGTTGCCTTTTTTTGCCTTTTTTAAGATATTTGCCTTTTTTTGCCTTTTCTACCTTTAAAAAAGTGATTATAGCATTTATATTTTTTTTTTTTAAGATTAAAAAATATACACATGCCCATGCGGCTTATAGAAGCGCAGGGACCTCTTGCCAAACTGGTGTTGGAAAAACTCAAAGCCGTTTTCTCAGCTAACGTAGGCTTAGAGACAATAAGGGGTGTGGATAAAATTGTAAAGGGCGAGGAAAACGCCCTTATTCCTGATAATATGAACGTTTCAAACGTTCCATATTTAAATTGGGCTCCACTTGTATCAACTTACGTCGAGCGCACATTTAGTACATTCAAGGCTTTTCTTCGCGAAAATCGAATGAAAATGCTGCCAGAAAACTTCAAAATGCATCTTGTGGTTCAATGTTACTACAACTATACAGATTAAAGTTTTATGAGTTAGAAATTCGAATGGATAAAATAGTCAAAGATTCAAAGTACACATTTTTCATATAATGAAACTAGTTCATAGTTTTTCTCTTTTTACTTGTAATATAAACATTTCTAAAAAAAATATATTTTTTGATTGTTCTTCGTATTTTCTGTCTTTTTTTTAGTGCCTTATTTTGCAATACCTTTTTTTTGCCTTTTCCTGCCTTTTTCGCTATTTTATTTTGCCTTTTCCAGCCTATTTCGTTACTTTATTTTACCTTTTTTTATAGGTTTTTAGGTCCTAAAAATCCGTTCCCTGGTCATCATAAATGAATTTTCTCGATTTCTGTGTTTTCGCGAGCGGTAATACGGGCAACACGAAAAATTGGCTCAAATAATCTCAAATATCCTCAAATATCCCAAAAGGGATATTGCGCGACGTTTTCAAAGTGGAAGTCCAGGCATTTTTGTTTACATTAGTTGCGTTCGACAAGTCAAAAATTTGTAATAGTTTTTCCAAATTTTTACTGGATGGCGTTCGATAACGACAAAAAATTATCCAACACACAAAAATTGAGAGAGCAAGCGTTCATTTTGTACTGGCAAAATTTTAGTCAGCAAAAATTATCCAACACACAAAAATTGAGAGAGCAAGCGTTCATTTTGTACTGGCAAAATTTTAGTCAGCAAAAATTATCCAACACGAAAACATATGATCACAAAACATATGGTTGCAATTTTTGTAAACAAACAAAGTTGCATTGCATGCTGCTATAGTTTGGTGGCAAATATTTCTTTGTTTTGTTTCGATTTCACACATTCCTAGGCAAACAGCTGATTTTGAAAGATGTTTTCTCTCTTCCTCTTCTTCTTTCGTTTCGATCGTAACGCAGAATACCTAAGTTCGATTCCAGCGGAGCGGAATGCGGGAACGTAATCGAAATGCAGAATAGGGCTGATTATTGCGGCTTTGCACTTTGTTGACAATTTCGGTTGTATGCGCCGAAAAGGAGAGCAGACTGACGAAAGTTACTCCGGGGATCTTCGGGTTATTCACCGTCGGAATTGATTCGTCATCGACGTGAATACCCAGTTGCAATCTGACCTTCTTTGTCCAAGTGGTAAAAAGCTTTGTTGAGGATTTTGTAAGCAAGAAAGCTCGGCGAGATAACTGTTTACTTTCAAGCACAAGTCATCAATTCCATTCCCAGACGCCATAATCGAGCATAACAGACAATAGTGACTCCCTTTGGCGGTTGATGGAGCTTTGAAATATAACAATTAAACAATAGCGGGGATAGGACACCAACATGTGGTACCCCCTGTTTAATTTTTCTTGGTTTGCTAGTTTTGTCCCTAAAGATTACTGAAGAATGTCGACCACTTAGATAATTCGCCGATCACCGTTTGAGTCCCTGTGGGAGTGAGGAGGCCTTTATCTCTTCTAGTAGCGTTGAATGGCTGACGGTGTCGAACGCCTTAGACAGGTCTAACGCTACTAGAATGGTTCTCTCACAGAGCGGTTTCGGTTACGGCCACGAGATATCTGGGTGTTTATGTGCTGCTTTTGTGCTGTACACTTTACGGAACCCATGCTGATGCTTCGCTGGGGCCAGGTGGTTTGTGTAGTGCGGAAGTAGAAGACTCCTCTCTCCTTTGTTGGACGGTTTCCACGGTTTAAGCAGTGGGACCACTCTTCCCCATTTTCCAGATGTCTGAAATGATGAGAGTGGCCATAGACAGGTTGAGGAACTTGGTTAAATATTCCACTACCGCAGGACCCACGTTTTTCAGCATCAACATGCAAATTCCGTCGGGCCCAATGGCTTTGGAGGCTTTCGCCTTCCCGATGGCTACCCCTACCTCACCGCTGGTGAAAACAAGAAGCGCACTTAGTTTTGGTAGTTTGTACAGCCTTCTGGTCATTCGACGTTTGGCTTTATGCGCCGGAGGATGCAGTATGAACTGTCGGCTAAAATAGCCGATAAAATAAAAAGATAATAATAAGATATTTCAACTCTGTCGTCACGCTTCGTCGGGTTGGAGAATGACCTCTCGGTTGACCAAAGCTTGCTCACACCAGAGGCGAAGTGGCAGGTCTTCAGATGCTCTTCCCATTTCTTACGCTTATGTACGTCCACTAGTTGCCGAATCTCCGAGTTGAGATCCCTGATACGGGGATTTCCGGGATCGGCCTGACGAAGGTTGTCACACTCATCGGCTGGGNCTCTGTACACCGCAATGATATCAGTGTGGAATACATGCATACATACATTCACCTTATCACCAGACTATAGAAAACCGGCGACTGAACGACAAATTGCCATCTCATTTCCTCGCGCTAAATTCCAGTTGGAAAACACACGATCAACACACTCGTTCTGTTTATTCCAATGCTCCCACAGCCCTACAAAACTTATTTACGGCTGTTCAATTATTTATTCCGTTTCCAGATTTCTTAGCGTAAGTAACTCGCTGTGATATTCTAACAAGAAACCAAAGAAAATATATTTAATCTCTGTGTATATTTCCGTTGCAGCNGGGACAGCCGCTTCAAAAGGAAGATTCGGACACAGGTCCGAAATGCATCCTGCTGGAACGAAACGGGCTGCAGTAGCAGTGACAACCCTGCGGAATTTACGCACACCCACCCGAACGTCGGTTGGTGTGGGTAGGGCAGTGAAAGTGCTTTCAGTAACATCCGCGAAGCCTTTCCAGTCAGCTTTGGTGAAGTTGACATAGGTCCGGTGATCCGCGGAACAAAGTCGGTTGATTTATCAATCGAGATGACTATGGGGAGATGATTTTATACTAAGGTCAGCATAGGTCGCCATGATATGCTGTTTATCAGACCAGCGCTGACAATTGTTAGAGCTGGCGCGCTACAGCAGCTGCCTATAATCCTGTTGGGTGCGTAGTCGTTCATTGTGCAGAATGTCGAGTCGTCTATCTGCTCAGCCAAGCGTGGTCAGCTACGATAATTCGACAGGCTTAAATGCCAAAGATCGTGGTGCGCGTTAAAGTCACCAACTACCATTCGGTTTTCACCTCTGAGGAGCGCACTTATTTCAGGGTGATATCCTGCCGGGAGCTGGTGACAGGGGGTATATACACGTCAAATATTTCGAGCCCGACATCGTCCGACCGGATAGCAATAACCTGACGTTCTAGGATGGTATCTCTGCCGTCGATGTCTGTTTCGATAAGACGATACTGCACGGTGTGGTGCGTGATGAACGCTAGCTCACCACCATTATCTCGCTCGCGATTTCGATGGTGTACTTTGTATCCGGCGCAATTCAAAAGTGTTGCCACTTGTGACTGAGCTTCACAGCACGGACCCTCATAGTCCCTAATCCAATTTCGCTTGGCACGCAGTCCTGTACATGCCCTAAAGTGACACCAGCTCAGGCAAGTGTTGCCCTTGCCAGATGCCACGTTACGGAATATCCTAAGCGGGTTAGATCGCCGGTACAACAGATATGTATATTATTGTCTGCTGATCATGGGATTTTAGAGTACAGCTTTTGCAATCGTACATACGTGAACCGCGATGACTTTTTTTCTGTTGTAGCACTTTAGCTAATGGGATCGATAAGAATGTGATGACGCCCACAGAGCGAACATAGACGAATGCAGTTGTACGCCATTCACTCTTAGGGCCGGTTGCTCAAAGCCTGGTTGACACTAATCCCCGGTTAAACATCGTTATCGACGTTACCGACACCGTATTATATGTATGGAGTAGAAAACGTCGATAACGATGTTAACCGGTGATTAGTGTCAACCATGCTTTGAGCAACCGGCCCTTACTGTTGTCTACATCACAATTTACCTTTTAAACTAGCAAATTTTTAANACGAATGCAGTTGTACGCCATTCACTCTTACTGTTGTCTACATCACAATTTACCTTTTAAACTAGCAAATTTTTAAACGTAACGGCTGTATTGTGAGCTCAACATATGGACATATAAAATAATGGGATAAACATATGCAAATAATTATAGGCTTATAGGGGCTTATCATCTTTTTACACATTATTAAAAAAAAAAATTAATTTAAAACATCTTTATAGCCGCCTCTGTACACCGCAATGATATCAGTGTGTAATACATGCATACATACATTCACCCAAGGCGAATTCATATAAGGTGGTATCGATTCAACAAATACAACAATTACTTGTATTTTGTTTTTGCTTTTAGCTGGTCATTGTCAAATTTCAGCTATTCTTCTCCGAATGAAAAAGGGCGACAGAAAATGCAAACACTCTCACGTTTTCACTCACTCACTAACAAAATATAAAATTTTGACAATCAAACGCTACTCACAGCTGATTAAACAACACCACCTTATATAAATTCGCCTTGCATTCACCTTATCACCAGACTATAGAAAACCGGCGACTGAACGACAAATTGCCATCTCATTTCCTCACGCTAAATTCCAATTGGAAAACCCACGATCAACACACTCGTTATGTTTATTCCAATGCTCCCACAGCGCTACAAAACTTATTTACGGCTGTTCAATTATTTATTCCGTTTCCAGGTTTCTTAGCGTAAGTAACTCGCTGTGATATTCTAATAAGAAACCAAAGAAAATATATTTAATCTCTGTGTATATTTCCGTTGCAGCGGGTGTGAAAATCAATAAACTTACTACATACTTACATATCTAGTGTAAAGATGGCGAATATTGCAAAACTGCTAGCTGGACGCGCTCAACATGTGCTTCAACTGGCAGCAAAACAGCCTCAATTGGCACCGCGTTTTTTTGCATCAGGTAAGCAAAAAAAATTTCAATTTATTACTCGAATCATTTGTTTAATCTCATTTACATATATATAAAGAAAGTAAAGTGCAGAATGAATTTGAACTTTGGAATTGAGATCTGTATCTCCGGTGCGAAACATATAAATATGTACATACATATATATGTATGTATGTAACATGGACTTTGGAATACAGATGTCTGTATGTATGCATCTTTGCATTTGCATTTCCATGACACCAACTTGGCTATTGCTGTGTTCAAGTGCAATGTCTTTAATTAGCAAAAAAGGGGTATGTACATGCACGCAACTCGGCCGCAAATTCATTGTTGTTTTACACAAAATTCTTTATTACGTAATAACGCTTTAAGCTGAAATTAGTCAAGAACGTAAACCTACCGGTACGTAAACCCGAGTCAGCTGACACGATCTGTCTTACCAAAGCGCCATGTAAATGAAAACTCAACACCGCAGAATTTTTCTGTAGCTGTAGCCCGTAGCGCAGAAATCTGCGGAATTTAGATTTTTCCGTGTCAGCTGATTTCTCCTTCTTTAGATGGTTGTCACTTCGTCAGTTTTGCAGATGGTAAAAAAGTTATAAGTTCCTATTCGAAATATGTTTAAAATATTTGAAATTTACTATTAAATAAGGTTTTTGTTGAAAACTAAGTAGTTTATATTTAGTTACAATCTATTATAGCACGAAAAATTGTGGTTGAAAGGGTAAGTTTATGAAAAGGCATTGAAGAGTGGCAACAGTGTAGTAAGCAACACTGAGGGCTCCAGTAATCGACAAAATTCTGCGTATACAGACTGCGTTTAAGTATACGTTCTGCGTTCTCGACTAATTTCAGCTTTAGTGGCATGTTTCGATTCAATTTAACGCTTGGTGCTATTTGTCATTCTTGTCACATGTGCTATGTGTGTATGTGTGTATCTTAGTTGGCAAAAACCGGTAGAACAACAAATAAATTTTTTTATTTAATTCCAAACAATTCCGCAAATGTGCATATCTGTGGACATTTGACAAAATACTTTCACGGACAAAGAATATAGCATATTTCGGCAAAGCTCTTTTTACCCTCAGAGCAAGCATTTTTATTTAAATCAAAACATGCAGTTTTGGCAAACAGAAACATTTTAAACGATTTCCGTTGGAGATAAAGTAATTTAATATTTCTGTCGAATCATTATGAGTAAAATAATTTAAATCGGCAATTGAATCATTATTTTATGATTTTTATATTTTTCGCTCAACGGAAATGATTATTATTTGATTTTTATTTTTTCGTTCATTTAAAAATAATGATTATTTATAAAATTGAATTTTGACCTGAAAATGTTGGGACTTATTTCTTTTATTTAGAGGTGTCGATACCTCTGAAATGGATACGGATAAGGAAATCACGGTGGTATAGCTTTTGAGTTTTTTGAATGATCATTATTCTTAAGTGAAACAAATAAAACTCAATAATAATTATTATCCTTGAAAGAAAAAATAAAAATCATAAAATAATCACTATTTGTGATCGAAAAAATAAAAATCAAGTAATAATAATTACCTTTGAGCGAAAAATTAAAACTTAAATATTAGTCATTACTTTTAATTTTCATTGGTTAAACTCGAAAAATAAAAATAATTATAAATTACAGTGGAACATACGAACACAAATACGCGAGTATAGTTAAAATTGTTTTACGACGATTACAACTTGTTGGTTAAAATTAAAAAAATAATTATTATTTTCTGTCCCTGGTTTTTACATATTGTGTGTATTAAATGTCTCTTATGTCTGCGTTCAAACACGGAAACTGGAGTTTCTTATTATCGGCGATTTCTCTTTTGGTGTTGCCCTTTGCATTCACACACAGAAACTCTTTTTTACGCAATTGTTGTTGTCAGCTGTGAATCGCCAACTTGAATTACTCAGACGAACGAGAGCACAAAGCGTGTTTCCCGAGTACGGGCGACTCGGTACCCGTCCCCTTTCCTCGTCGCTCTCTGCCCTACAAGCTTCGAGTTTCCGCAACAAAAGTTTTCGTGTCTGAACGTCGACTATTGAGGAAAAATTACGATAGTGATAGTTAGAAATGGTCATGTATAGTCAAGTAGATGTATCGGTCTTAGGTGCTATTTTCTAAGAAAGTAATGTATCCGTTTATACATGCAAGGGCAAGGCTACGAGAAATGTTTTAATGGGCATTACCTCTGTTTGATCATTTGTAGTCTCCGTTTTCCGTTTATCCTCTCTCTTCCCTATTTCTCTCTCTACAATCTCATTCCCTCTCTTGAATAATTTATGCATTATAATATGCATGCAGTTGTATGTATCAAAGTATGTATGTATCCGAAGGCATGCATGCATAACAGCATTACTTCTTTAACAATTCTTTGCATTATGATGTAGATGCATTTTTTTTTGTCTCGGTATATACATTTTGTTTTCTTAAAAAGGTATTTTATTTAATTTCATTTCATTTCATTTCATTTCATTTCATTTCATTTCATTTCATTTCATTTCATTTCATTTCATTTCATTTCATTTCATTTCATTTCATTTCATTTC